AACAACAACAACAACAACAACAACAACCCACCCGACAAGGCCCCCCCCCCCCCGCCATGGCCGCGGCCATCGCGGCGTCGCCGCGCTTCAGCAGCTCCGCCGCGGGGCAGCGGCCTGGTGTCGGGCGACGTCTCGAGGTTGTCCTTGGGTTGAGACCTTTAGGGATATTGTGTGACTACATATGCTCTAGTTACGCATCTCTCATTGAGACTTTAAGGTAAATGATATGCATAGAAAAATATATATGTATATATGGGCGTTGGTCGAAATTATTTTGTCTTTTTGTTTGCCTTCTGGCGCCCTTTCGCGAAGCTTGCGCTTTCTGTCGCGCCCACAGTGGGGCGCACATGGTCGACAACCCTCCGTCGACAACACCACTAAAGCCATGCGTCAAAAGCCTGCTTTGGGAACCAACGACCCAGCCCGAATGTTATTTTCCAATGCCTAAAACAGGTTTTGGGGTGACCTAGTCTGTGTATTCTCAAGGAAAGACTCATTTGAACACGCTTGGCCACTTTTGGCTGGTTGCCTGCAAACCAACCCAACACCTGCCCAAATGTTATTTCCCAGTGCCCAAAACAGGTTTTGGGGGGTGCCCTGCTCTGTAGTCTCAAGGAAAAGACTCATTTGGACACTTTTGGCTTGTTGGCCTCCAACTCGAAACCTGCCCCAATGTTATTTTCCACTGCCCAAAACAGGTTTTGGGTGCGCCCTGGTCTGTATTCTCATCCGTCCATCCACACACCTATACATCCACCCACCCCCCATCCATCCATCCATCCATCCATCCATCCATCCATCCATCCATCCATCCATCCATCCATCCATCCATCCAAAAACCTGCTGAAATGTTTATTTTCCAGTGCCGGTTTTGGGGGTTGCTGGTCTGTATTCTCACGGAAACTCGGCCCCTTGAACCTGCAAACCAACCCAACACCTGCCCAAATGTTATTTTCCAGCGCGCAAAACAGGTTGGGGGTGCCTGGTCTGTATTCTCACGGAAAAGACTCATTTGCACACTTTCGGCCCCTTGACTCATTTGGACACGTTGCGCCCCTTGGCCTGCAAACCAACCTAGAACCTGCCCAAATGTTATTTTCCAGCACCCAAAACAGGGTTTGGGGACTCCCTAGTCTGTACCCTCAAAGCCGCCCTTGGCCTGCAAACCAACCCAAAACCTGCCCAAATGTTATTTTCCAGTGCCCAAAGCAGGTTTTGGGGGTGCCTGGTCTGTATTCTCAAGGAAAAGACTCATTTGGACACGTTCGGCCCCTTGCCCTGCAAACCAAGCCAACACCTGCCCAAATGTTATTTTCCAGCGCCCAAAACAAGTTTTGGTGGCTCCCTAGTCTGTACCAATGTTATTTTCCAGTGCCGAAAACAGGCTTTGGGGGTGCCCTGGTCTGCATTCTCAAGGAAAGACTAACCTGCCCAAATGTTATTTTCCAATGCCAAAAAACAGGCTTTGGGGGTGCCCTGGTTTGCATCTTGTGGACCAACCCCGAAACAGGCCCAAATGTTATTTGGCCTTGGCCGAAATAGCTTTTGGGCAACCCCCAACAACGGCATACCAACATGCAGGCGCGAGGGGCACATGTGGCATAAACAACAATCCAAAAGCTATTTCTACAGCATTGAAAACATGTTCACACCATTCAGAGTGCTAAATCAGCATCCTTTATCATCATTGCGGCCAGCCCTTTCGCCAAACCTTCCGGCGCCCACTCGCGACATTTCGCGCGCGCAGCGCCAGAACACATGAATATGCTCCTTACTAAATTCTTACACATGGGTTTTTGACCGTCGCCCATATATATATATATATATATATATATGTACCAGTCCCTGGGCCACGTACCCCCCCCCCCCCCAATGGTATGGTCCCCCCACTCCCCCGCATCATCCGCATCTTGGGGATGATGCTGGCAATGCTGGGGATGCTGTCCAGTACCGTGCGAGCCCTGCAGCTTCGGTCCCAGACCCCCTTTCACCCCGTGAACCAACACCCCCGCACCTCTCGCAACATCCTACCCTAAACCAAACCACCCTGCAACCCCTCCTTAACCCCAACCCTAAGCCTAAATCAACCCAAACCCCAAACCCACCCGAAACCCACCGCAAACCAACCCGGAACCAACCCTGAACCAACCCTAAACCAACCCACCAAGCCTCAACCAACTCCGAACCACACCCCAACCCCACCACCCCACCACCCCACCACCCCACCACCCCACCACCCCACCACCCCACCTCCCCACCACCCCACCTCCCCACCACCCCACCACCCCACCACCCCACCACCCCACCACCCCACCACCCACCCCACCCCCACAGGGGGGGGGGGGTTGGCCCAACCACCCAACCACCACCCACCCACCCCACCCACCCCACCCCCACAGGGGGGGGGGGTTGGGGGGGGGGAGGGGGGGGGGCCCACGGCCTGGAACATATATATATATATATATATATATATGTAAATACATGTAACATAAATAGGTTTTTCAAACTTCCATAGATAATGTTGCAATAAGGTGATATCAAGATGTATTGGTTGAAATGCGCGTGCGTCTATGGTAACCTGGTATCCTTTTCGGGGATGACTCTAATAAAAGCTGAAGGCAAAACACTGATTTTAGAGAGGCTTGAGACAAATCCATGCTTGCGTGGGCCTAAGGCCCGCTTCCATGAGGGCGTGTTTGCGTTGCTCAGTACCCTATTCGAGAAAAAGCAAAGGGACACCAACCGGTTTAGGTGTCCCTCTATTTTGACGCATACCCATGAGTGTCTGCAGACCAGGAACTCAAGGGTCAAAAGTCGACCCTTGGGCTTTCTTACAGGAACGGCGCGGACTTTCCCTCGAACCAGCGCAGGCCACTGCTTGTTGCAAATGCCTGAATTGGTTCCAAGGAGCAAGCAGTCTGGGGAAGCACATACATTTGGGGCAAGCCGTCACGCGCTGACTGCGCGCAACAGTAATGGGTATATCAATCAAGGATGCCAAGACTTAGGTCAATTGGGAACGTGAGTTTCTGAAATTCCACCTGTTCAATTTCACAGAAATCCAGACCACTTACATAGCTGTGAACAATCCATAGGGCCCTTTGCACTTCCCCTGCCCAGCTAAATGAAGCTCACTTGGAAATTGCCAAACTGCCCAACTTTGGCATGGTCCTACACAGGATTTGGACCCACTCCTGTCGTTTTGAAGCCCACAACTATAGAGATTCCCAAAGAACGCCTTGGAAATCCGAACTCCGCAGCCCCTTCTTCCCTTCTTCCCGTTCTTCCCCCCCCCGCCTGCCCGCAATGCCTCCATGGCCCAAAGCACCGGCTTGCGGGGGCCTCGCGAGGCTTCGAACGTACTTCCGAGCCTCGAAGTCACAAGGAGAAAAATGATTCGACCAGTTCCTTTTTGCATGGTTCGGAGCTTCACTGGTGAGGATTCGCGGGAAGATTTGCTGCCTTCGCGAGGCTTCGCGGACGTGCTTTAGCTGGCCAACTACTTTTAGCCTTCGCGAAGTGGCGTCGCCTTTTGTCAAAGCGTGGGGCCTTCACAAAGAGGCTTCGCGAGCCTTCGCGGAACACAATGTATCACACAAGTGCCTTCAGACATTTTGGAAGTTCTCCAAAAAGCTAAATCCTTCCACTGGAAAAACGCTGCTCAATTGTGAAACTGGTTGAGACTGGCACCGCATACTTTCAATCTAATTAACCTTCTTCCGGAGAAAACAAAATGCTGCCTCAGAATTTCGGAAATTGCACCATGGGCCTGTGAAAGTACATGAGACTTTCCCAGCGTCATGATGCCATCCCAGGAACGTCCGTTCCTCTCCGGGTTTCCATGGTCAATGGGTAGAGCCAAACCAAAATTCATAGAATCCATCGATATTCAGCCAAACTGAGCCAAAAGGGCACCAATGCCCCTTTTGCCCCTTTTGCTGCTCCTTGGGATCCTTCACGCAAAGTTTGGAAACAAGGATGCTTGGTTTCAGCTGCCTGGTGCAAGGGCCGAACACCTAAAAAGTGTTGCCAGGTGTGATCTTCTCATAGCCAACCACAAGTTGTTGCCCCCCAACCAAAGGTAGCTTTAAGATTCTGGCGCATAGGGTGTCTTGCATAGGGGAACCTTCAAAAACAACCCAAAAGGCTTCCCTCAAAGAAGACGAGCCACTCGTATTTAATTTGGTGAACTCTGGACTATTGACAATGGTCTTCTGAGGCCTCAGGAAACCAAGCACCGATCTTCTAGACTCGGGTTTTCGCCAAGCTCGAAGAAGCAACCACCCTTTTGCCGAAGAAGCAACCCTGAACCCTTAATGAAAAGGTTCCAGAACTGATTTGTCTCACCCCAAAATGAAATCCCAAACAAAGGAACAACCACTAAACCATTAATGAAGGGGTTTCCTTTTGTTCCGTTTTCCACCAACCCTCCCAAAAACAACTCCCTCGCCTTGCGCCCACACCGCCTCGGAGGCCAAAAGCACTAGCCGCGTGCCCGAGGAGTGCCTCAAGTCGCCATGCGCTGGTGCCCGCTGGTTGGTGCGAACCAAAGAAATTAAATACACGGAGACCCGTACGACGTACGAAAAGAAACAGGAAGCAAGCAAAGCAGAGCAGAGCAGAGCAGGCCATGCAAAACCTAGCCAAGCGCACCAAAAGAAAGCAAAAAGAAACAAAGCGATCAACGCGATCATCAAAGCAAAGCAAGGCAAACCAAAGCCTTGCAGAGCAGAGACAAAACACTACAAAGCAAAGGAAAGCAGAGCAGAGCAAGGCAAAGCCAGCTGGCAAGCAAGCAAGCAAGGCAAAGCCAGCTGGCAAGCAAGCAAGCAAGCAAGCAAGCAAGCAAGCAAGCAAGCAAGCAAGCAAGCAAGCAAGCAAGCAAGCAAGCAAGCAAGCAAGCAAGAAAGCAAGCAAGCAAGCAAGCAAGCAAGCAAGCAAGCAAGCAAGCAAGCAAGCAAGCAAGCAAGCAACACAACGCAACACAACGCAACGCAACGCAACGCAACGCAACGCAACGCAACGCAACGCAACACAACACAACACAACACAACACACACACACACAAACACAAACACGCAAACACACACACACACACACAAACACACACACACAAACACACACACACACACACACTCACACAAACACACACCCAAACACACACACACACAAAGACACACACACACAAACACAGACACACACACAAACAAACAAACAAACACTCACACACACAAACAAACACAAACACACACACACACACACTCACACAAACACACACCCAAACACACACACACACACACAGCCACACACACACACAAACACAGACACACACACAAAAAACAAACAAACAAACACTCACACACACACACAAACAAACACAAACACACAAACACAAACACAAACACACAGACACAAACACACACACAAACACAAACACAAACACACACACACACACACACACACACACACACACACACACACACACACACACACACACACACACACACAGACACAGACACACGCACACGCACACGCAAGCGCGCACACACACACACACACACACACACACGCAAACACACACACACACACACACACACACACAGACATCACACACACACACATAAAGACTCATGTCCCCGCTGCACCTGAAAGCTGCTTCCGCTGTTCCCAAAGCACCATCCCAAAAAGCGCTGGCCTTGTGGGGCGAACGCCACCCTCTAAGGAGCCTGTGCACCTCCATCTTGTTTGTGGAAGCGAAATGAAGGCAGCAAGACACCCACCACACCTAGGGTAGGCTCGGAGCAACCCTCTCGCGAAAAAAGGGTGCCACACTACCTTGAATAATCAACCGGGCTTATCCTAGGGGGCAACCCCCACTAGAATAGTGATTGACGCAACTTAGACGATGAGACTCCTTGGTAAAGATTGGTCCCTTATGGAGATCTGTCAGAACCAAGTCCACCTTGCTGGCCCGTCCAAGGCACTGGATTCGCACCACATCCGGCAGAGCGATGATGCCTCGTTGGGATTCGGAAAGTCGCTCGACCAAAGTTCCACTGGTGCAACGGCTTTGAGATGATGCGCCTTTCCATGTAGATTCCCGTGTTATTCCTTCTTCGCACCTCATGCTGGAAGCTATGGAAGACACCCGATCTGGAATTGTTGCACCCTTCTGACCCAGGCCTTTGGGACGTTGGCTTGTAGTCTGCAGTGCCAACACACGCGTGACTGCTGAACAGCGTCTTCTGCGCTCTGTTGCTTCATGTTGACTTCATGTTGGCGCAGTGTTCAGAGAACAATTGCTTGCAGCCGGGCGCTCCTTTGGCAGCCATGCCCACTTTGAAAAAATGGAAAGCTGGCACGGAAGCCCAAGGACTGGCAAGAAACTGGAGCGGAAGTTAAGAAGCCTGACAAGAAACTGCTGCGGAAGCCTCAGGACTCTGACAAGAGATATATGGCCTGAAGAAGACAGACGAACTCGGACACTTCCGCAGCAAACACGGCCTGTGGTACAATCAAGGACGCTTCCCACGCCACTGTCGATGCACTGCTTTGACAGAGAAGGTGACAGTGGGGTTTATAGAGGAGAAGAGCCTCACACGGCGCAGTTCGGAAAGTCCACGAACGGCTCTGGCTACTCAAAGCATGCGGTTCCCGTGACTGGAATGCGTCTGCTTAGCAAGACCAGCAGAGGTGTGTGAAAGAAGTGCTGCCGGCCATGACTTCGAGCTTATTGAGTAAAGCGTGCCGCGCTTGTGTCTGGGACGCGGGGAAGACGTTTCACTCGGCTGCGAAGTCGCTGTGTAAGACAGCACTTCGTGGTGTATCCCACCAAGGTATCTTTGTTACGCCTGTGGTCAAGCTCTGGAAGGGATCCCTGTCAAAGACAACGAAAAAATGTTGGCCAACAAGTCCAAGGCCACTGCCGGCCACGTCGACATGGTCAAACAGACTTCCCGCTGTTTGGAAAAACGCCGGAGGCGATAATCTGGCAAAAAGCCAATTTCAGCGAAGTGAAGCGTGTGCTGCGTCGCATGGGAGCGTCGCACGGGAGCCTTCGGAAGAACGCGGGGAGACAGGCGCTTAAGAAGCAACCAGGCTCTTGCAGCAGCTTTTTTGGTGAGATCCCCTGGCTTCAACCAAGTGCCGAGAGCACTGGCGGCATACAGGTCTGATTTGCCTAAGGGACCGCTTGGCCTAAGCCCCAGGAGCGTTTTGCATCCAGAGAAGTGTGATTGGTTGAATATGATTCCGGCCTGACTGTGATACGTGGGGCTAACGCCTCAGTTTCGGGGCTCGTGTAAGGAACCCTGCTTGTCAGCATGGCATGGGTCAGGGTTGCTAGGTTTGGTTCTCATCAATTTGGAGAACTCGCATTTTGGTTGAAGGATCTGGCCGAAAACTGTCCTCAAGCAGCACCAATCAACTCCGCGGCAGGTTGACGTTCACCCCCAAATCAACTCCGCGGCAGGTTGACGTTCACCCCCAAACCTGGGGTTTGTTGTTCTTTGTGGATCCTCGTCAAGCACAAACGGTAAGATTGCTCTGACGTTGAAACAGTGTGTGTGTGTGTAGAAACACGTACACATCTGTTCTGAAATTTCCAGGGAACGCTTCATTCGGCAGGACACAATTGTTCTGGCGCCTGGATGCTTCTCCTTGAGCTGTTTCGCCCCCAAAGCGCGCCAAGGGAGCGACTTGGGCGGCGCTCCTCAGAAGCTTGAAATGCTTTCATCCCCCACAAAGGTGATGGACAAAATTTATCAGTTGAGTTGGGATGGATGCAACCCTATACTCCTACACTGTACACCTACCATCTGGCGCAGGGATGGGGATTGCTTGGTCCGGCAAGCAGGAAGGTGGTCCAAGTCGATTCGAAAGCTGCTGAGGGAATGATGTCTACCGACTGCCTTTGCACCCGTTGCATGACTGCGTGTCCAAACTGCAAAGATGGCCTGGGACAAATCGCTAAGTTCTTAGTATCCTGTCAACCTTCAGTCAATATTCGTGTTCAACTCTTCTGCGCAGACTTACTATTCATATAGCGGTCCCCCCCCAGACCTGTCCAATGCCCCCAAACCACGACCGCCAAGCGAAACATGGGTCACGTGTGCTCCACATGTTGACCATATAGTGGTGGCATCCCCCCGCCCTCGCCACCCCCAGCGGCCATGACAAAAAAGGCACCTTCTTTTAAAGGGAAGCCCCTCCTCCAAACCTGGAAACAAGGGCACCACTGCGTGTCTGCGTTGGGGAAGCAACCAAAGGCCCCCAGCCCAGCAAAGGCACTTCGATCCCGTCCCTGGCCCCAACCGTCTGGGCCGGACAAAAATCGTCCTTGCCCCACGCGCGCCAACTCGGACTCACTGAGCGCGTCGTGGGGCACGGACGCCTGCGCCCGCGAAGCTCAAAAAAACGGGTTTTGGGTGACCGTGCATTTGGCGAGCGTGTGCTTTTTGAGCTGGTGTTGCACTTTGCAGGTTGGTTGAAGAGAAACTAAAATGAAAATGTCTGGGGCCCGTTGTGGAAGTTGCAGGGGTTGTACGGACCCAAATCATTACTCGAATGGGGCAACATGAAGTCATTCTGCTAGGATACGGTGTGTCTTTACTTTGCCCGTGAGTCTGTCTCAGAATACGAGTCTCTCTTGCTTGTGGGGGATTGAAAGAAAGCCAGCCATTTTGAGGGGTCTCAATGAGAAACGCCCAAACGGGTGTGTGTGTGTGCTTTGGTGTCCAAATAGGGGACCCTGCAAAATGGCAGCTTTCCTTTTTGTTTCCCGTTTAAGCGACCTGAACAAGGGTGTCCTTGAAAACGCGGCACACAACACACACCCAGAGAGAGACGGACACAGACACACAGGCACACAGACACACAAGACACACAGACACACAGGCAGAGATACACAGACACTCACACACACAGAGAGCGTCACAGACCAAGAAACACGCACACACGCACACACACACAGAGTGTCACAGACACACACCCACACACCTACACACCCACACACCCACACACCTACACACACACAGAGTGTCATAAACACACATGCGCGAACACACACACAGACACACACAGACACACACAGACACACACACACACACACACACACACACACACACACACACACACACACACACACACACACACACACACACACACACACACACACACACACACACACACACACACACACACACACACACACACACACACACACACACACACACACACACACACACACACCAACACACACACACCAACACACACACACACACAACACACACACACACACACACACACACACACACACACACACACACACACACACACACACACACACACACACACACACACACAAACACACACACACACAAACACACACACACACACAAACACACAAACACACAAACACACAAACACACAAACACACAAACACACAAAAACACACAAAAACACACACACACACACACACACACACACACACACACACACACACACACACACACACACACACACACACACACACACACACACACACACACACACACACACACACTTAAACTCCAGATGGAGGGTGCCAATCTTTCGAGTACAACTGATGAGTCTCGAGTACAACTGATGAGTCTCGAGTGGGTGTAGGTTCGGCTTGCAGTCACTTGGCTTCCGTCTAGCAGCGAACACGTTACCCGAAAGAACAAGAAGCACAAACAGCGCCGCAACCAAGGGGGCCAAAAGGACTTTGCATCACACGAAATGCACAGGTACGTCGAGGTGATCAGCCTCGATATCACAGGACAAGTGCGGCGTCTTCGTTGGATGCCGACCGCACAGGTCCCCAGCATCCCCCTGCGGTAAAAGTGAAAGCCTGAAGTTGGTGACAGGGTATTCTGTCACTCCGCACACACACGCCCCTCAAAGAGGGGCGAGTACCACTTTTTCGGGGGGAGAAAAAAACACGCGCCCCAAAACCGGGCGAAGACCCCAACAGAAAACAAACGGAGCAAGGGAGCCCAAAAGAAACAGAAAGGCCCCAGGTTGGGTCACCGCGGGCAAAACCCCAAACAAGAAACAAGAACCACGGGGAAGCCAGGTTTCGGGTCTCCGAGGGCAACAACCCCAAACAGCGCAAAAACGACCTAGACCTTGTAGACGAAAGGGGCCGCGAAGGCAAAGAGGCAGAAGAGGAACAGGCCATCCCTAACCGGGCGAACAGGAAGTACAAGAGATAGCCCAGAGAGGGAAAGAAAAAGAAAAGAAAGAAAGGAAAGGGACGAAAGAGAGAAAGAAAGAGAGAGAGAGAGACAGACACAGAAAGAGAGAGAGAAAGAGAGAGAGAGACAAAAGCGTATTTAGGGCGTCGCAACCGCCCGGGGGGAAAAAAGAAAGGAGCAGGGTGCGTATTTAGGGCGCCGCATCCCGCCCGGGAAGAAGGAACAAGAAGCAGAAGGCAAGGAGACAAAAAGGAGAAAAGAAGGAAGAAGGAAGAAGGAAGAGGAAGAGGGAAGTAGTAGTATGCGTTTTTAGGGCGACGCATCCCGCCCAGACAGGAACAGAGGATGAAGACCAAGGCTCGCGGAGGAAGACGTCGAATCCCACACAGGGGCCAAGAGGACGGACACGAAGTAGCAACGGAAGGGGAAGAAGACGTCAAGCCAAACTACGTGAGGAAGAAGAGGAGTAGGAACAGGAAGACAGACACGAAGACGAAGACGAGGAAAAAGGTGAACAACGCGAGGACAACCAGGCCATCCCTAAGCGGGCGAACAGGAGGGGGACGAACGCGCGGGTCACGAAAGGCAGCAAAAAGAGAACGGGAGGAAGGAGAAGCCATCCCTAGGCGGGCGAAGAACCAGAAGACGGGCACGCGGATGAAGAAGGCGAGAAGAAAGAACGTAGGGTGAGACGTAGCTATGATCTGACGGCTGTCTTCCCTTTAGTGAAACCTCGTTCCTGGTTAAATCTGAAATTCCGCTGTTCTATGATAAGCACGTTGAGGTCAAATTTTCCGACAGAGCCGGCCCGGGGTCACACAATGGGTACACCCGAGGATTCCCCACGAATGGGGTGTACACGCTTAAACTCCAGATGGAGGGTGCCAATCTTTCGAGTACAACTGATGAGTCTCGAGTACAACTGATGAGTCTCGAGTGGGTGTAGGTTCGGCTTGCAGTCACTTGGCTTCCGTCTAGCAGCGAAAACGTTACAAAATCAACATGAAGCACACACAGCGAGAGAAACAACGGGCCAAAAGGACTTTGCATCACATGAAATGCACAGGTACGTCGAGGTGATCAGCCTCGATATCACAGGACAAGTGCGGCGTCTTCGTTGGATGCCGACCGCACAGGTCCCCAGCATCCCCCTGCGGCAATAGTGAAAGCCTGATGTTGGTGGCAGGGTATTCTGCCACTCCGCACACACACGCACACACACACACACACGAACACACGAACACACGAACACACGAACACACGAACACACGAACACACGAACACACGAACACACACACACACACACATGAACACACAAACACACAAACACACAAACACACACACAGCCACAAACACACAAACACACAAACACAAACAAACAAACAAACAAACAAACAAACAAACAAACAAACAAACAAACAAACAAACAAACAAACAACACACAAACACACAAACACACAAACACACAAACACACACACACACAAACACACAAACACACAAACACACAAACACACAAACACACAAACACACAAACACACAAACACACAAACACACAAAAACACAAACAAACAAACACACAAACACACACACAAACACACAAACACACAACCACACAAACACAAAACACACACAAACACACAAACACACAAACACACAAACACACAAACACACAAACACACAAACACACAAACACACACACACACACACAAACACATAAACACACAAACACACAAACACACAAAGACACACACACACACACACGCCTACACACACCTACACACACCTACACACACCTACACACACCTACACACACAAAGAGTGTCACAGGCCAAGAGACACACAAACACACACACTGTGTGTCACAAACACACACCCACACACCTACACACACACCCACACACCTACACACACAGAGAGTGTCACAAACCAAGAAACACACACACACACAGAGTGTGTCACAAACACACACCCACACAAACAAGTACGGCTATGAATGCGCAATACGCGTCCGAGAGCCTCATCGCAGAGCACAGTGAGCCCATCCACGTCGGTGCCCACTGCGGTACGCGCGAGGCCGCAGCTGGCGACGTAGATGCCGCTCCTCCGGCGACAACGAGGAACCATCCTTCCGTTTGCTTTTTCGCCCCCTGGAAAGAATACACATATTTCCAGTAGTGAAAGCCAACCAAATATTCTTACGCAAATGAAATCATCTTCCGGGGTTTTTGGGGCTCACATTCCCAAGACCTTCAAAAATGGTGAATCTCAGAGTGACTCTACCA